CCAACTGAAAAATGCCACCTAAGCCATTAGGTTACTTTATGTTTGATTGCTACGTAAGTGTAGCATTGCTCAGAAAACAATCCCGTGCAGGATTCGAACCGGGACCTGCGGTACAGCAGAGCAGCGGCTAGCCACCGCGCCACGGCTGCGCTCGCGTCAAGAAGCAGGCTGGACGGTTTTTATATAGACATGGGCAGGCTTGGCCGGCCCACCGAGGCCTGCATTGTTTTTTCCTTTCGCACTTACCTGGCGTGTTGGGGCTCATTCGTTGCCCAGATTTCTTTACGTTTCATATCTCTTACTTGTTATGCTTTATTTTTTATTCTGCTTTTGGTTTATTTTTAGGTTTTTCTTTCTTATTTTTTCATTCGCTAGGTTGGTTTATCTCCTGGATTTTTAACATATTTATTGAACATTTTTTATGATGGGTTTTAGTATATGATGAACAGTGAACATTTATTTCATGTAATGAACTTTTGGTAATATACATTGAACATGTTTTCAATGCCAATTTAATATTTTCGTAATATATGTTGAATTTGTTTCTTAAGATATGATGACATTTTGCATAATGCGCGGTGAAATTTTTGTAATTTATGGTGAACATTTTCTTAATACACGATGAGTTTCAAGAATATTATGATTACACAATTTCTTAATTTATAGTAAACATTTTTAATACACGATGAACTTTTCTTACAAACAGTGAACACTTTTCTAATAATATGAACGTTGAACATATTTTGAATGCAAATGGAATATTTTTGTAATATATGTTGAAATATTTTCTTAAGATATGATGAAAAGTTTACTTAATGCACGGTGATTTTTTTATAGTTTATTGTGAGCATTTTCTTAATACACGATGACTTTCAAGAGCATTATGGTGAACATTTTCTTAATACATGGTGAATTATTTGTATTTCAAGAAATGTTCAACATGGGTTAAAAACTTATTGTGTAAATCATTCTTGCATTTCAAGAAACACGTCGATTTTTTAATAAAATTTGAACAGTTTTAATGCATTTCGGAGATTTATTATGATTACAAATTTATATTTAATACATGTTGTCAACTTCCTAATTAACTGTGCATTTTAAAAAATAAAATATATATGTATTAATATCATGAATAAAAAATATATATGGGCCGTGCCTGTGTTCTAGTCTGGTGCTTGACACTTAATAATACTAATATGTAATCGCAAAATATATATGTATTAATATCATGATTAAAAAAACAGTAACCCAGCGCGCAGCCACGCTGGGCCAACCGCCGGCCCAACGTCTTCAGCATAGTATAAAGAAGTTCTCGCCTCTTTTACATCGCGAGGGCAGCCGTGGCGGGGTGGCTAGCCCGCTGCTCTGCTGTACCTCAGGTCGCCGAGTCCGAATCCGTGGTGGAAATTACGAACGGAAAAAAAGCCTCTCGTAGGAGCCTTTTTCCCCGAAATAATTGGGCTACATGATTACGCACAAATCAAGGGAGTTTTCTGCAAAAAACTTGCCACGTTAGCACCCGACAGGCGGGCCCAACCAGTCAGATTCCCTGTCAATACGTATAAACTGCAGTTTTAGTCTTTTTTGCAACGCCACGCCCCAAAGTTGATACTGACACGTAAAAATTACCAATCTTGGTACCAATCTGCTTCCAATGCCTCAATTGTGGTACTTCTGTGCAATTTACTCCAGCAAAATCGATCCATCAGAGCTACAGGTAACCCCGTCGAGGCGTGGAGCGAAACACATGTCGTTCTTGACTTGTGGCACCGCGGTAACGCCACATGTGCATTTTACATAGCTCACCTACGCGCGCATTGCATCCACATGATTATGTTTTTTTTGCAGGAACCACATGATTATGTTTTTCTTTTTGCGATGAAACCACATATTATGTTAAGCGCGCAAAGTCCAAAGCACAAGCACCGAATGGGGAAGTCTTTATCTAGTATGGGTGACGGCATAATCTCCGGATTGGTCCTTCACCTAGTTCGATATAGGCTTAGCGTTGGTCCTATATGATCCTACTGTTGTGTTGCTGATATGTTGTCACTTTTATCTTCTTTCATTTTGCTATTGCTTGTTGTGTGTATTTTTATTATATATACAGAGGTCCGGTGTTGTTGAGCATGCTTTGTATCTGTTTGATGCTATAATTTAAGTTAACTAGTAGGATGCCCGTGCGTTGCTACGGGCTACAATGCATATAAATAAATCAAACAAATGCCTAAGGTCATCTCCAAGGTCGAACCTCATTTCTTCCTCGTACGTCCAAGCATGTTCGGACATCAAAGGTGCACCCACTATGGTCCACAAAATTCAACCGTTTGGACAGTCCAAACTCCCCCAAATAGGGACCATATGTGGGGGAGAAATATGGTTATCGTGATTATCCGTCATGTTATCCATCATGTTATGCCTTGGGTGATGCGAGCACCCCGGCATCGCCGGCGCCGCTATGCTTCTCGGCCCCAGGAGCCCCTCCGCGGCACGGCCTCCTTCTTGGCAGCCTCGGGCGTGCCGACAACGAGCGGGTGGTGCCTCGGGATGTGCGTGGTGCCGACCACGACGGGGACGGGGGGACCCCGGGTCGAGGCGGCGACTCCGCTTCTGGACAGTTGGTGTCGTCGCGAAGAAGCGGCCGTGCGGGAGGACCGGAGGAGGTGGGGACTGGGGAGCGGAGTGTAGAGAGGCCGGCGGCGGAGACGTCTGGACGCAACGTGCTGCCCCTCATCTCTTCCCTCGTGCGGCGGCTAGGGTTTGCGGAGGAAGGGTGTGCGTTGCCTCGCTCCGTCGCTCGTGGGTTTTTTCTCGTTGGTTTTCTTTCGTAGGTTTTTTTTCGACTTGCAGGCCTCGCTCGCTACCTGAGGCATCGCTACCTCCACGGGGGGGGGGAATCACTCGACGGTCCAGGAGAAAATCGTTGGGAGGTGGGAGGTGGGAGGAGGTACCAAAATAGGTACCAAAAAAACCGGGCGAGGTGGGACGAAAATAAAACCCGGAATGCGACCTACCAACTGAGACATTAGGAGTAGAGATTGTTTCCATTCGGTTCCTTCGACGTGGAGATCATGAATCACGAATAGAATTCCATTCTGATCACCACAATTGTGTGTGCGCAGTAGGACGCAACTGGGGTATAATAATATCGTACCTTGTGGAGGAGTGAAACAGATCAATGAGTAGCAAATGGGCTTCAAAGATGGACAAAACATATGTTGGAATCGACCACTGATTGGTCGAAAAAGACATGTTGATTGTCATCAGTATAAGACCCACAGCTACTGTCAAAGATTTGCCAAATCAACCTGAACACCAAATACAGACACTTGACTTGATCAGCAGCAGAGTTATGAATGCAAGTTATCTTAGCACTTGCTTACTGAAGCTAAACTCTATTGCCTGGAGGGAAGAAGAGTTCGTATAGTCATACATGTACAGTCATTATCTTCCAAATCTGCTTGTTTGCATAGACCCAATTAGATTTCCCGGAAGCTCGCACCCAGATTTTGTTATCCACATCGGTTGATCCTTGCATACTACCCCTCACAGTTGATGCGATGAATCTGAGACCTAGTATGCAATTACAATGGGTGGAATCATTTAAATTACTTGTTTCACATATGACGCAAAGTGCTAAATATCAAAACATACGGGCATCATGCTTATATAAAACGACAAGTAAATCACACGAGTACGTAGGACTGTAGGAGGTACCTAAAACAACTAGTAAATCACACAAATATCCTTTAATGACACAGGAGGTGGTACCATAACTACGACGTGAGAGTTATGGTCATCTTAATTCACATCGGAAAAATGACCAAATATCTCTACTTGAGTGAAGATGCAATCCTACGTATAATCTAGAGTTATGGTCACTATCGTACAATGGTGCAATTATGTACTCCACTAACTACCACTTCATTAATAGAGTTACAGTTTTTATTCAGTAAAATATTGGTTGTACTAAAAAGGAGTAATCAATAAAAATAAAGATTAATCCCACTCCTAGCAGAGCTAAAAGAGAGTAAATTCAGAAATATCAACTTATAATGCACAGTTTATCACGGATCCATCCTAA